TTTTTTGAGCCAGGACGCTGGGGCCAGGTGGAGCAGCCATTGATGGGTCTGGGAGAGCGGGTGGGGGATGGGGCCTGCTCGATTTTGGAAATTTGACTGATTTGGTGGTGGCTGAATCTCCGAATCAGATTCCGCCAAATAAATTCGGGACAGTGATTTGAATCACTGTCCCTTAAATCAGCCGAATCCGAAGTGAGTACTAGCTGCTTTGCACAGGTCTAGTAGATACTGCTTTTAGATAAGAAACGGGCCTACATCAGTATAATGCTCGTGACCTTGACTTCTCCTTTGGTCATGTGTGCTAAAATTCCTTATTAGATAAATGACATGGAGATTTGGGGTAAAGTCCACTTAGAGAATGTTACTTATCAAAGTCATCTAAGGGTAGATTCAGGATTGTATTTCTCAAATATATTTATTTTTTTTCATAAATTGAGCCTCTGTCAGTTTAAAGACAACCCAGGATTTTGTTTTCTGTTCTCTTTTTTTTATTATCTGTCTTAGTGCTTCTGACTGTAATAAATGTCCTCTCCCTTCCTCCCCTGCACCCACCCTCATCCATATTTCTTTTATTAGTCAGTGTCAGACTGAGATAGCTGCAGTGAGAAGTGACAGGCTAACAGGATATGCTGAAAGCTGGTTATTCTCTCTTCATGAAACACAAGCCTCATAAAGTATCTTATTAGTTAGCTCTTCACCCATGTTTTCTCGCATACTTTCTATTATGGATGTTGGCATCTGTCACCAGCAGCTGGGACTCAGAGTTGTCCAGTTCATAAGGATTGGGTTTAGAGGGAGTAGGCTTGAAGTGGAATTGCAAGTTAATAGACCTAAAGAAAACTCTTTTGGTCAGCACACTAGACTAACATTTAAAATGGGGATAGGGCTTTGACAGAGTATATAAATTGGGAAATAGACGAGTTTGTGCAAAGGGAGTATTAAATATTTGGGGTGTACTGTAGGTGGTGGTGATCTTCTTAAGGAGTCAGATATTATTCCTAATTTGGGAGTTCAGATGTCTGTATTAATATTAAATACTGTATTAACATTGCATTTGTGTCAGATGGCATATCACAAGGATTAGTAGGTAGGAAGAAAATCTACTATGTATTTTCCCCTTATTTGCTTGTAAAGTCAATATAATTTTTAGAAACCTCCTTGGCAGCTGGAGAAGGGGCAGAAGGATTTTTTCGAAATGAAGGTAAACTTGTTTTTAATATCCACAGCAAAGCAACTCTGGTGTCATCCCTGCAGGAGCTGATTTAGTATTAAATATTTGACACAGAACAAGATTCACTTTCAGATTTGTAAAGGATGATATACACTGATAATCTCTGCCAGGTGGGCAGTCCTCCTAAATGGTCAGGTATAAAATGTGTTCTAAATAAGCTGCTCGTCTCTAAGAGTTGGACTTGAAAATCATAGAGAAGCTAAGTTATAATGTTGCATGTGTTTGAACTCCTTGGGGGAGAGACAATAATGGAGGTACAATAATCTGTATGTGAGACATTTTAAGATGCGTCCTAAACAATCTCACCAGTTAAGTGTGATTAGTTGAAATGTGACTTGAACCTGGCATTTTAAAAGTAGTAAGGGGAAACTGTCTTAAAACTAGAATTTAAGCCAGCCTGTGTAAAATATAGGCACTTTGGGTGTTTATACTGATGCTCTGGGAGGTGGGGGATGGGGGAGAGGTGCTTTAATTAGAGCAGCAAGGCTCTGACTAAACTGCCCAGTGTGACACGTGTATCAGCATCCCTGCACTGCAAAAAGGTGGTGGTGGTGCTTTAACTGAAGCTTCTCAAACGAGCTTTAGTTAGTGTCCCACTGCCATTCTTCAACATGCTTCAACACGCCATTCTTCAGGATGCTGATACACGTGACACTAGATTCTGCTGGGGTGCAGTAATTACCACGCTCCAGCAGACTCAATTAATCGAGTCTGCCTGTGTATAGGTGCCCTTTCTGTTAAGACTTGAATGTGAAAGATCTATTTGCTTTAATGCTGATTTACTGGTCTGCCATTGGTTTCCCCCTTCATCTTGGGAGAGTAAATCCTTAGCAATAAGGCAGTCACTAACAGGTGAGGAAATGGGAACTACAGTTATATGGCATGTTTCTGACAGGGTGACAGTGATTTCTTCCCAATAGTTTGTTCTCAGAAAAGTGTATAGTTCAGGTTTACTGTAATATTTCAGGCTGTTAGGCTGGCAGTATCTTCAGTTACTGACGCTAGCCTAAGAGTATGGCATATTACACTGGAAACTTTGGGCCCTCCAAATGCAGTATAGTTAGTTTGTTACTTTCCTGTGTTTCTTATTCATTGTCGTCTCACCTCCCAGGCACTCTGTAGTTCTCTTCAGGGGGTAAAGGTGTCAACTGTTTTGTTATTGGCAGATTGAGGCTTTGGAGTGGCAGAATGAGTGGTTCTGAAAAACCATGATGATTGTTATACTTCTCTGGGTGGACCATTTCCAGTCTCATGGTGTCTAAACCTTAGAAGCCTTCTTACTGTAGTGGGTCCTCTGGATTGAAATACCACATTTTAAATAAAGGCCACATATAGACATTCAGTTTCTCCAGAAAGACTTGCTGCTGTCCCAGGAGAAACCACAAGTATACAGGTACTTGGGGAATTTTTTTTTTCTCCCAGAGCAAAAATGTTCACTCCAGGAGAGAAATAACCCAGCAACAACCAGGGTTAAATCACTTCCAGAAGAATTTCTCTTGGGAGAGCTAATGTCTGCACGTGTCTCTTCTGAGAGAAGCCATAGGAGAATCCTCCACCAACCCAGGGTGCATTTCTCCCGTCCTCTCCCTCCAGAGAAACAGAGTGAACTCTGCTGTTCCAGCCAAGCTGGGAGCAGAACACCCCGCTACACAATCCCATATTGCGCTGCTGGGAGATCAGCAAATCGGGGCTGCCCTGTGCACTGCAGCCTTCTGTTTCTAGTCAGACTGAAGGTATCTGCAGAGCACGCCAAGATGTGTGCCCAGGGCCCCCCTGCCAGGGTAGCATCACCACTGCAAACTGTCTGCTCTTCAAAGGCTCAGCAGTTGAATGTTTGCTCAGGCATCTCTGGGCAAGCTTTTCTCCCAGGAAAACAAAACTGGGAGAATTTTCCCAGATCGTTTGAACGTGTGTACACAGCCAAAGCTGTATTGGAGCTTTTTCCTTTTAAGCTCTGAATCCTTCAGATCAGTGTTGATATACTAAGAATATTTATAATGTCCTGGCCCTATATTGGGGTTTTCCTCTGTAAATTGCTTTACAGAAGTTTGTGTGATTTATTTCCCATTTTACAAATTAAAAAAACCGATAATGAATACCAATGATTTCCTAATTTTTTGCGACTTTTTCACCTAATGGTAAGGGTGTTGGGATGAATCATATTAGTATCAAGGCTTTTATGTCCAGTTTGGTTTCACATTTTTATCTGATGGTCAAAAATTCTCTGAATTCTAAGAATCTACTTTGTGAGGTTTTCTTTCTTTTTTTCCCCCCCTTTCAATCTGTTGCCAAGAAATTTTTCAAAGCCTCTCTGTACTCAAAGGAAACTGTAAATATAAAAGAGGGGAAAATAAGGGGGAAAATGTAAAAAAGCCTCATCAAAATAAGTTCAAGTAACCTTTTCTCTTTTTGCGACTGGCCTTATAGGCGAACAGCTAAGAATATTTGTTGTTGTAGAATTAGTGTGCACTTATGTTGATCACTTCCCTACTTACTATACTTGATTAGTGCTGTATCTTGTCTTGAAATACCAGTGACTAATGGTGGGACAGAGCTGATTTGGTATCTTCTGGGTGTTGGTGCAGGCCCAGGTAGACAGATTGTGTGATCAGGCAGGGGGTTCCCTTAAATAGCTTAGAAAATTCCTGTTCCCTGCTGTTGATACCCCCCGCTAGAACCAGTCAGACTTAAAGCAGTTTTCCAACTGCCCCTTTAGCAAAGACAAAGAAGCTGATGGGAAGTGAGGGGAACGACTTGGTGGCAGTAGATAGAATGCAAAATGACTGAAGGCCACTCAGATGTGCGCGACAACATCATCAGAAATTGCACTTACTCTGCCCTGTTAATTGTCATTTGAATAAAATCCAGAGTTGCAAAAAGGCCTTTTGCTTGAGCCAGAGTCCTTTGGCAGGAGTTTTGCTGTGTTTCCGGTTTCTGAGGGCCTTTTTGCAAAGTAATTTTGGGCAGCTCCTCTGCACATGAACACATGAAACTGGTTTTAAGCTCTCATTATGCAGCTCAGTTACAGCACTTCAGGGTAGGATTCTCTCTGATCCATGTTACCCAGCTAATATGGAACTATACTAAGCCACACTTTAGTGTGAATACTGCACCTGCCCCCCTCCCCTGCTGGCCTGGATCAGGCTTTCTGCCCCCCTGCAGCTCCCCCCACTTACTTATAGCTACCCACACTGTCTGTCCCAGGAAGCAAGCAGGGAAGCCCAGACTGGGAGGGGTGGTAGATTCTTACCTTTTAGTCCTTTAGGCCCCTGTTGGCCTGAAGTGTGGCTGCTTCAAACGTGAGCTAGCACTAAACACCAATCAACAATTGTGCGTCTTAGTGTAAGGTGCAACAAAGCCCTGAGTTTGTGTACTAAGTTTTGATGGCAGAGACAGCCAGTTGGGGGCAGGCTCCCACTGGTAACTTACTGTTTCACTTTCAGCCTCTCTTTCTGCCCCTCCTCCCCCCCAGGTGTTCTTTACTTGATGGATCACGAAGAAGAGTATGTCTTCACCCTGCCCAGTGCCTATGCTCGTTCTATACTTACCATTCCCTGGGTTGAGCTTGGAGGTAAAGTCAGTATTAACTGTGCCAAGACCGGCTACTCGGCTACTGTCACATTCCACACCAAGCCTTTCTATGGAGGAAAAGTTCACAGGTATTGAAACAACTGCTTATTGGCTGCTTGGCCTACTTGTGTAGTGTGTTTTGGGGGAAAAAGCCAAAGAAGTTGTGTCCGAAAGCTTGCAAAGAACTTTTTTCCAACTACTCAGTTGATCTAATAAAAGATATCACATCTAGCCAAAGAACCTTGCCTGCCTATATTTCTTGAAATTGTGCAAGTAATGCTGTGTGGGATTGGTCTTGGCTTGGAGTCTTGACTGCGTGCTGCATACAGTTTTTTTTTTTTTCTATTACTGTCTCTGAAGCAAAATACAAAACAAGAGTGACTGATTGTAGAAAAACCTGCAGCACATTTTTTTGGAAGTATTTAACACAGTGCAATGCACTCCTTCAGGACATTGGTCTCCAGGGAAGTAGTATAAGCATTTCCTTACCTGAAAATACACCTGTTTGATCTCTAAAAAATCTTGGTCTTTGTCTTGTAAACGTGTATGGGACAGGTCACTGTGTGCAAATTTCTCCCATCGCTTGTGTTCCTGCAGCCTTCTGGCTGGGTGTACACAGACTCCTGGTGACTCGCTTACGGAATTGGGTTCTGTGGATTGCTGAATAAGGGAGGGAATTGATCAGGGAAAGTGTTTCTCTGCACTGTAATAGCTCTTCTAGCAGGAAGCACATGGCTAACCACTCTGGATTCCCTTTGTGGGGTTTAGAGATGAGGCCATGTGCCTCCTTGTCTTTGCTGGGAAGAGGGTTTAGATGA